GCTTCGGCCTCATACTTCGGATCGGCCACAAATCCTCAATACCAATACCAAGATCAAGGAATTTCTGGCATTGTCCTACTCCCGGATTTCACGACTTCGTGTCACCATTGGCAGTTCCGAATTCGTGTTATGATGCCCTGTGAAGTTGCTGTGAAGGCATCGTGCTCGGCGCTCCCGGACGGACTACTCCTAGGACCTGCTGACTCTCACAAACTCTGGCCAAAATAAGTCGAAGGCTCCGGACTATCCAATAATCCAAACGATCGGCATTGTCAATTTCTTGCCTGGACTGTTCTAGGAACCTAACGTATATTTACCCTTCGTTGACCTTTCACGTCCAACTTGTATGCATGACAAACACCGACTACCGTGACGTCGGGCAATCTCAAGCTTACTCATTGTATGCCGGAAGAAAAGTGAGACGATATGTCAGCACTCGAGCAACGCGTATATAAAGGACTTACCTGGCCTTCGAGCACCGATAAGTCATGGCAGCCGTTCCTACGATTAAACTGAACACCGGGGCACTCATTCCCACCATAGGTCCGTCTTTTGCACAACATGTAATGAAATCTGTGTGCGAATGTATCCAATCCTTCAGGTATCGGGGCGGCGCCGGAGGCCTTTTCGGAAGAGGCAATAGCGGACACGGAGAGATGGCTTCTCACCGCCTTCAAGGTGGGTTTGGTCTTGTCAAAACTTTTCATTCTCTGGTTCAATTCTCTGTGGCAGGCTGGTTATCGGCACTTCGACACGGCGCACTTGTATCGTAAGCGCATCCTTGTCTCACGTTTTCAATATTGAATACTGACGTTTTTCAGGCACGGAGCCTCAGGTCGGCGCAGCGCTCCGCGCCTCTGGGCTTCCTCGTGAGGAGCTTTTTGTGACTACGAAACTCCCGTAAGTTATCTCCCGGGCTCGATAACTTTGTCCAGCCCATTTACGATAAAGATGGCACCACACAAAATACGTGCGTCGCTCGTTCGACGAGAGTTTGAGGAAGCTGGGATTGGACTATGTGGATTTGGTAGCCTCCATTTTACTATCCCTAGACGCTCCGGCCTAATGTGTTCCATGAAGTACCTCATGCACTTCCCTCAAAGCATCGAGTTCCAGAGTAAGTCCTTGAATCGTTTATTGAATCATACGATAATTTCTGAAATGCGCTGAGGTAGCTGGATACGACGCACCTCTCACAGTCGGTGAAATGGCGGAGAACTTCAAAGTAGTCGCCACGCCGTCGTTGAACGACACTTGGACTGAGTTGGAGCTTCACGCAAGTGGACGGGCTCGAGCGATCGGAGTAAGCAATTTCTCGATCAAGACGTGGGTGCTTTCAAATTTCTCGTCTCCTGAACTTACTCGCGTACTACTCCTAGTCTCAAGCAGCTCTTCGAGACAGCAAAGACCGTGCCAGCCGTGAACCAGGTGGAGTGCGTATCCGATGTTCAACCAGTAGGCAAGTGACTGAAATGAAGGACACAGAATGCATCCGTACCTCGCGCAGACCGAGCTGCTGGAATATTGTCGCAAGAAGGGAATTGTCGTCACCGCGTACAGCCCTTCTGGGCATGCTCAAGTTCGCAATGACCCAGTCATCGTCGCACTCGCCGAGAAGTACAAAGTCTCGCCCACGCAAATCATTCTCGCGTGGCATCTTGCACGCGGTGTAGTCGTGGTGCCAAAGAGCTCAAACCCGGAACGACAGAAGGAGAATCTCACCGTGCGTTCTTGGAGTTTCCAGGACCGGACAGAGATTAACCCGGGTGATAGCTGCCGACTCTCAGTGAAGAGGATGTGGCTAGCGTGACAGTGTTGGATCGGAACGAACGGATCGTTAACAAGATTGGCCCCGACGGGAAACTGTGGGGATGGACGGCAGAGCAGTATGGATGGTGAAAGTTTCACCATCTGAGATTCAGTGAGAATTGAATGGAAGATTGTGCGGATGTCCCCAGTTATGAATCCTATTGTCGAAGTGAGCTGTATAGTCCGTTTCATCTAGCAACAGCTGAAAGTCACTTGAGGGATAGCGAGTCACACATATTGCAGTCGTGCTTTGAAAGGTCACGTATCAAACAGCCGACACTAATCGCATACGGCAGCACCGAATTGTTTTGTCGAATGCTTGAGAAATGTGAAGTTGAACATGAAACACGTGACCTTGGTTCAATCTCACCGGCGAATAAAAGTCTCGCTGCAGAATTGGTATGTTGACTTCTCCGTATTTGTGTCAGAGTGACTTTTCCCCAACTCATCGTTTGCGTTTGTATTTGACGGATGGTTCGTTGCGTTCAAGAGTATGCCCGAGAGTTCTGCCTTGCATTTTGCGCACCGTTCTATGATCAGAAACGGTATATTCCTTTCCGCTGTGCTTTGTCCTTTGTGGCTCGTACGCAGTCCGCCGCTGAATTCCACACACAAGAATTTTACGCTGCCGTATCCACTATCTTGCACGTCAAGCTCACCGACCGCGAGCCTGTGCGGCAAGCAACGACGCTGCGCCGGAGGCGGGTCTTGATGAAGACTGAGGGCGAGTTGGTTTTGCGGGCCCGGTCCTAAGCCTTGGACGAAGGTCGAGCCGGTCTTGCGGACTCACCCGAGGAACGAGCTGATATTGTTGAAGCGTCTGTCTAGGAGAGACTAGGACTTACCCGCGGGGCGCAATCGGCGTGGGCATAGACGACCCAGAGGAAAAGCACCCGGAGACGGGGGAACCAGGAAGGTACAGCCTTCCATACTACTTCTATTTTGAATCTTGATAATATCCGGCCAACTACAGAGACGCTCCGGATTACGCACACGAACCCAAATTGGCCTCTTCCGCTTTGCCGCGCTTGCACTCGTGCTAGATTTCGCACTTCAGCCAACGACGTTTTGGGACATTCCCGTACACCCGTAACGGCAATCATCGGTATTTAAATGACCTTCCTGTTGCCTTCCTGACGACGGTCGCTTCATCGTGGCAACCTCATTATAAAGAAAAGACGCTGAGTGAACATATCCACTGTGATAATATTACGAAGAAATGAACGCGCCAACAGTTAAATTCTCTGAGATGCTTTCTCCTTATTCCACATTCGAATTCCACGCCGGCTTTCGCAAACAAAGATGAGCCTCTGCAATCACTGTGTCAAAGGCGAGCGAGTATTGGCTGCTCACGTCCGACGTATTCTAATCATGGCGTCACTGCAGGCTTCGTCCACGAGGGAACCCCCGCAGGTCTGTGGGTTTTTCTTAGGGTTTAAGCTCGAACTGAACGGCGTTCACAAGTAAATTGGAGACCATCGGCGGCATCGAGTCCTATGTAGCGACACCCACTGGGGACTACCCGAAGGACAAGATCATCCTGTTCCTCTCGGATGCCTTTGGCGTGACTCTCGTCAACAACCAGGTATGTGATGCCTTATTCAAAAAAATTCCGGGCGACGAGACTCATCTGTACGCAGCTCCTGGCCGACGGTTTTGCGGAGAACGGATTAAAGGTCTGTTTGTTTTATACCTGTTTCAATTCTGGGACCCAGACAGTGCTTCAGAACATTATCCCCGACATTCTGCATGGCGACCCCGTCCCAGCGAATGCGCTAGACCCAGGCGTGAGCACCCCAAGCATCAATGTGAAGTGAAAAGTACTCAACTTTGAGTGTGATCTGCAGGTAAATTTCGACGTCCCAAAGTGGTTTGAGGGCGGCCACTACCAAGCCGACACACACCCTATCATCGATAAAGTCGTCGAGGCGCTCAAAGCCAACGGCGTGAAGCGTTTCGCTGCTGTCGGCTATTGCTTCGGCGGGCGGTACGTCTTTGACCTCGCGTTCGACAACATCATATCTCTCTCGGCCGTCGCGCACCCGTCCGGCCTCGAGGTTCCCACCGATCTCGAGGTAAGTCGATCTGTCTACAAATCACAGTAGCGCTAATGGCAACCGCGCACAGAAATACGTCACCGGCTCGAAGGCACCGTTGCTGATCAACAGCTGCTCGGACGACCCGCCGTTCGCGTTTGAGGCGCAGGCCAAGGCGTACGAGCTCTTTGCGGGCTTCGCGCCGGGGTACGAGCGCGAGTTCTTTGACGGCTGCAAGCACGGGTTCGCCGTGCGCGGCGATCTCGGAAACCCTAAGGATAAAGCGGGCATGGAGGGTGCGTTCACGGCCACTGTCGAATGGTTCAAGCAGTATCTGTAGATATTCCTGCGAAACTGCGCACGCGACGATTGTACACGGACCCAGATATCTTGTGACACAGCAGCATGAAGTTCTTCCAATTGAGCGAACTGTGCCCTCACCAAGTTCAGCTTGACTTCGGTCCATCAAGTCGTAGCCGTCTGCCAAGAATGCACCGGCTGCTCCGTGGATAGCCCCAGGATATTGTCGAGCCCAGTTGTTGGCAGTTAGTACGTTCGATGTACTCAATTCTGGCTGTGGTCAGGCAAACTATACAGAACACTTGAAAAAAAGTTGACTCCAGAGGTTGAACATGAAACACGTGACCTTGGTTCAATTTCCCCGGCGTCGCCGTTGGCTCTACGGCAGGCCCTGGAGTGCTCTTTCTCTTAAAGATTTGGTGCGTTAACGATCCATAATGTTTTCTTTTGTGTCAGGATGTGATTTCTGCATCGCCGTCTGCATTTGACGGATGGTTCGTTTCGTTCAAGATGTGTTCCGTTCAAGTCGATGCCCCACAGTTCTGCATTTCACCATCGGCTCTATGATCAGCAAGCGTATGCCATGCTGTCCTATGCTTTGTAAATTATAGCTCGTACGCAGTACGTGGCAGAATTCCCCGCACAAGAAACGCCACGGCTCCGGAATCCGGGTTCAAATTCATCGGTTCAAAGCTTCAATTAGCAGCAACTTTTTATTGCGTAAATTTTTAGCTAGAGAATCGCGATGAAGAAATCTTGTATACTTAGATGACTTGCTACATACTTAGTCGAAGCGGGGCTCAGAGGCGAGCACCATTGGTCATGACAAGAGGGAAAACAGCGTCCAAAAAGGATCGGCCAGCCTTGATTCAAACAAGGCACTCCCTCATAAGCACTGTACATCCGTCTGAATATAAGAGGATGTGTTACCGCTACACCACCGGGCCATACTGGTCATTGAACACGGAGGGGCTTAATAGGTGTTTGTTCAATGAAACATCAAAGAAAAGATTATCAGTTCAGTTCTACTTAGTACCGTTGAAATTGGCCCTCGTATGTAGGTCGAAGAGCAATTTTAGAGAGCAATCTGTAATGCATAGATACAGATCTATGGGTTGAACCAGGAAGCAGTCAGAGCAAAAAAATGTGATAAACAAAAATTTGACATTCTCACGAAATGGCCTGACCTTGATTCAAACAAGGGGCTCCCTCATATTACACAGACTATTATAACAAGTTGAGAGGATGCGTTACCCTTACACCACCAGGCCGATAAATGTCCCCAAACGAGTGTACAATCTAAGCAATGCACAATCCGTCACCTTACAGTAAATGTCGCTGCAAGTTGAACACAACCAAGAGAACTTGATCTTTTCTTTTGTGTTTATGGAACAGGGTTGAATTGAGAGATATTTCGAAGGGCAAGTGCGTTTTCGAGTGAGAGAAAGAGCCGGATGTCAGACGCTTTGGAAGAACCAAAAAAAAAAAACAGGAAAAAAAGTCAGATTCACAATGGACGATGGCCTGACCTTGATTCAAACAAGGGACCTCCTCAGACTGGTTGTAACCAAGCGCAAGTTCAGAGGATGTGTTACCGCTACACCATCAGGCCAATGCCTTGGTGTAAACCTTTCTAACTGTATGCATCATGCTCAATGTTTATCCGCCACTACAGAGATTGAACTCAATCTCAACATTGCTCGCTATCAAAATTCGTCGAGAGAGAGTTGTAGTGGGAGATTATTTACGTTGTCGAGTGAGAAAGAGAGGGATGTCAGGCCGTGCAAGTGGGGCTTCGGGGAAAAAAAAGAGGAAAAAAAGAGGGAAAAAAAGCCCCACTCCGTCGGTACAGGGCCTGACCTTGATTCGAACAAGGAACCTCCTCAGAAACGGGGATGAACGTAAGTTGAGAGGATGTGCTACCGTTACACCACCAGGCCGTGATTAGTGGGGTGTTGCCGGGGTTAGATTGGATTTTCGGGTGAGAAGGGATTTGGCTCAATGGGTTCAGTGGACGGACATTGAATTCCCGTAGCACTGCAGCATTATCCTATGGCTTTCTGTTGAAAAGATTGGAAGATGTCTCCGTGTCGATGTTATACTAAACCAGGCTAATGGCGATCCAAAAGAAGAAGCAGATTCAGGAGAGAGCGAGAGAAAAACGACGGCCTCGCCTTGATTCGAACAAGGAACACCCTCATAAAATGTCGTTCGCTGAGTATTAGAGGAGGATATGTTACTATTACACCACAAGGCCGTGAATGATACTCAGTCAAAAGTATGGAGAACGTTTCATTTGAGCTCTGTGTTCGTCATCACTGCTTCTCCCGCGCGCGCGCGTGATATTTGCGAGACGGAGCCTAGTTTATGTTTGCCAGCCGCCTGATGCGGAAGCCTGGAGACGTCGTGGGTTCAGGAGACTCGGCATGGGGAACAAGGAGACGCCGCTTTGGTCCCGTTCATTGAAATCGGTTCAACTTGACTCCCAGATTTCGCAGAGAGCTCAGACGAATGGCAACTTCGGCGGGGAGCAAGAACACCCCGGCTCAACAACGAGGCGACCACAGGGGTGAGTGCGGGGCGTCGCCGTATCGTGTGATTCAAATCTCGAGGCCAGAACGTGCCAGGCCTTGAATTCAGAGAGAAAGAACAATTTCGAACATTCAAAGTACCCGCAAAACTGCTCTTTCACCGTGTCATGACGTCGACAGGGCTAGACACGGCCTATCGATGGGAGTACTCCAACGAAAGAACGGACTGGAACGCGAGGTGTGGGGAAAGGAGATTGTGGTGTGGGGAAGTGGTTGAAGAGTGGAAATAGAGCGGTCTTGAACGGGGGCGATGAGAGGCGGCCGTAAGAGAGAAGAGCAGATGAACGGACTTCCGCGCGGGAGAATGCGGGGAAGCGTGACGTCACAGTGACTCCCTCATATTATTTTCACGCGGAATAAACCGGGTTCTCTTAAGTTTCTTGCCTTCTTGCCGGCCATTTCCAGAAATTTCTCGCTTTTGCCAGCGGCCAGCCTCGCTTTGACCGGACAACGATGAAGCACGCCCGCCTGTACACGTACATGCTGCCCCGCGTCAGCTTTGACCTCAAATCCCAGTTCTGACCTCATGAATGGACGAAAACGATACGATACTCAAACTTGACTCAAACACGATACTGGAGGCTCCAAAGCTGATCCATACTATCTTTGCCAGTATGACAGCATCGTCCGCCCTACTTGTGCCCAACCGCCGCGTGCGTCCAGACCTGATTGGTTTCCCCTCAACTCAGAAAATGAGCGGCACTTTGCTTCTCTTGGTCAAGCAAGGACAATGGACATGTCCTTGTCGGTGCAGATGTACACGCGGATGGCAGAGACATCCAAAGACCCGTTCCAAGACTGGTACCCGTTAACACGTTTGGTACCCGTCCTCACCGCCGATGGCCTTTGATCCCACTGGCCACGAGTAGGGATTTCGAGGCGTCGCCAGCGCGCGACATAGAACCCATACCAGCCGTCGATAGAGTTAGCCATACGGTGTGTGGATGACCACTTCTGTGTGACAGCCGTGGCCCGCCACAGTCGTCACTGCGAAGAATCATCGGTGAGCCTTTCATGCGAAATATAACAAGCCTGAGGTGACACACACGTTAACTGCAATGCAGCACCGACGACGAACCCTCCCCCCAGCACAATTACACATTTGGTGCTGTCCTCGTTCGGGCGGATCGTGTGCACATCCTGCGCGTGTGTATGTCGCCGTGTGTATGTCGTCGATTTGGTAGGGCGCCGCAACAGCCCACAGAACCAATCTTGAAAGAGGTAAAGCGTTGCAGTGGATCGTAGTACCCTTCTTGCAGCCCAGCTATCCCAAGAATAGCGTCAATTAGCCGTAGCGCCGTTTTGCCACAGTCTGCAGCACTGCATGTCGTGCACCCGCAAACCCCGACTCCGCGTCCGTATTCTTGTGCACCGGCGCTCTCATTGGCTTCACTCACCTAGCTTCACCCAGCCACGCTTAGCGCCTCTTTTGCCACAGTTAGCAACACTGCACGTGCACAGACGGGCACCCGCGAACCCCGGTCGCGTCTTACAGCCCAGTTCTTGTGCGGCGGCGCGCAATGCCATAGTTTCCGCTCCTAGCCTCAAATCCAATCCCCGACTTTCCCGTCACTGCCGCTCCACCGCATTGTTGACGTTTCTGTGGCAAATGCAAGTATAAAATGCCGGGTCCAAAGCTAACTTAACTTGTTCAACTCCACGTCCCTTTTACGCCCACCGACATGACTACGCTTACACTCGATTGGTTCAATCGCATTACCCCAGTGTGCTCGCCAATCGCCTTCCTGCTCCTGTTTGTGGTCAATCTCTCTGCTCCAGTCACGAAGACCATCTTCCTCTTTCGCCTCAGTGGTGTCATCTCCATAGCAGGTGGCGTCTCCGGCGGCGCCGCACTGGATTTCGGCTTGTGGGGTTTTTGTTATACTGGCGTAGGCATTCAGTACGCATTCATCTGCCCTCAATCTCCGCTCGCAATCTTAAAATTTCGGATAGCCTGCGTAGGTCCTTGTCGTCGATCATCGGACAAATAGGACAAATCGGAAAAGATGTGTTTGATGCCGCTGAGCCAAGTTGTTATCGAGGCTACACCCTTGACAGCAGTCTCGCGAAAGATGTGTAAGTTGCATGCTATCCTCCGCCGCATACATCTGCCCTCACACGGACCAGGCACCTAGGCAGCCTTGTGACCGTCATTTCAAACACCCTTGCCGCAGCCCTTGCCTTGCACACTGTCGGTGAGTGTGCCGACTGTCTCGCCAACTCTTACTAATGCGTTTAATGTACTAGCCGCCGTCCTGACTTTCGTCGCAATCTTGAATTCCCTTTTCATAGCCCGAGCCTCGAATAAAATTCCTCCACAAATTTTCACCTGGCTTGCACATGGCCCGGGCATCCTTGCCACCATCATAACCACCATTGTCGCCCTGATCGACCTCATCGCTGTTGGCACGGTACAGAACAAGATCCACCGCGACACAGCTGGGTTTCTGACCCTGAACTGGGGCAATGCCGTCTGGATGACTCTGGTTGCAGCCATACTTCTTTGGGTCGCCAACGCAAAAGCCAGCGTCCAATTATACCGTGACTTACGCGCAATCCGTAGCCGCAAGTGTGTTTCTAATTGTTTATTCTTTCCATGCTATCTCGCAACTGACGCAGCGATAATCTCAGGACGGCTGATATGGAGAACGGCCTAGGAGTCTCAAAGAGCTCAACCCTCGATAGCGCTTGTTCGGATGAGATAAAGGAGCCCGTGGCTAACCCACCGGCAAAGCACTCGGAGTCTAAGTATTATGAAATATTTCTCCCTGAGTGAACGAGGATTTCCATTGTACTTTATTTATCTTACCGTCGCCGGACGACACTGCGCGAGCGCAATTTCTCTTACCTATTTTGATTTATTTATCAAGTCGTCAAGCGGTTGGGGCTACCAATACAATTCATTGTGAAACAGTGTCTGCATTTGTGCGATGGGAATTGAGGCGGAGGACCTGGGCGGACTCGGAGGCCGCAAACCCTTGACCGTTAGCTGTCGCCGACGTCTTCGCTCCCGGAACACCGGCAATAAATAAAAAAACATGACGTGGGATTGGGCCTCTTCGAGGCGGGTGGCTGAACCTTCGGGGGCCGGGCACGCAGGCAATGTCACCGTTGTAGCTTAATCTTTTTGCCAAGGTCAGAGAAAGTCAAGAGGTAATATGTTTGCCCTCAGAATAGTATCTGGGCGCGAGCTTGGTGTCTCATGAACAGACACCACAGTGCTTGAATGCTCGAACTCGGAAAGTAGGCTAAGTACAGCATACATCAGAGTTTCATGGCTGGCATTCTCCTTGATATTCAACCCGAAATTCAACGAGGGTCGAACACACGATCCGGAAATGGGGTAGACTTAGTGGGGTCGGGGACGGAAGAAAATTGTACACCACCTGCGGGAGCTGGAGAAATCCACCGCCAGTCTGAAGAAAACAAACTAGCCTTGGTACTGACCAAATACAGCAGTGAGGGGAACCAGCCTAGCGGCCTATAATCAACAAACTTGCAACAGACAATACTGAATAAATAGTACAGTGAACTCGTACCTTTGTTTTTGTTGTCTGTCAAGTACTGTGCACGATGCCGCGCTGTTATAAGGATGCTTTCAGGCTCATAGATGGATCGACAGCCGGTGCCAATTGCTGAATATGTGGAAATCTGGGTTGAATCTGGGCCAACCGTGAGCGCCTGGGCCATCAGCAGGTGATAGATCGGGGACGGCATTTGACAACGTGCAATGACACATATTCACAAAAGTTGTGAAAACATCGGACATTTGATATGGATCCTCGCCCAAAACGGTCAATTTGGCAAATCTGTTGAGATATTTGACCACTATTACTAACGTTGAATGACGAATTTTGTGTTTGTACATGTGGACGAAAGATGGCCCAAATCCAAGTTCCCCAGGGTAGCTAAACCTCCGGTTCAGCCAATTAAATGTATGTCTCAAAAATCTGCAAATACGGCTGGGTCCTCGCATGGTCTTCGAGGCAAATGAGCATTTGACGAGCGTCTTTTGAGACTTTGACTTATTTCGACAGTGGACGGTCCGAGTCCGGCCCGTCTCGGAGAATCTGGATCCAAGTTCGCGCATCTGCTAAGTTTTCTTTCGCTTCTCACTCAGGCTTGAACTTGGCGACGCAGACTCTAATCCACTGTGTGCACTGGCACATGTGGGTGAACCGTGGCGCATGAGGCATAACACGCCTGACTGTACACGCCGTGGCAAGGCCGTGGAGTCGGAGAGTACCACTACGGACGAACATCGCAGCGGCACTGGGGCTCAGACTGGTGATTTAGCGGCGATAACAGCCTTCTCTCGTCTCAGCGTCCGCAGGAAAAATGTTTGCTGC